AGATGGACCCAGAAGTCCCATCCAGCCTCACCCACGCTGCAATTCTACAGTTCAGCTGAAGCAGTCTTCTAAATATACATACAAAGCTCTAGGCTGAGATGGAAGCCTGGCACACCATTTACAATGATGAATGCATGAGAGTGGCTAAGTAAACACTTAGCATGTTGATATAAGAAAGGTTCTTGACAGTTATATATCTAACTTTCAAGAATAACAGAGTCTCATTATAAAGCTCAAAGGGTGCACCAGAAACAACATGATTCCATCTTCAACTTATTCAAAAACAAAGCTATGAAATATTCCAAAGAAGCCAAATTTGAGATGTGACCATCCCGATTCTGCACTAGTCAACTCACTTCACAAGGGAGGACTCTCTCCAGACCAGGTCCATCCAGAGCTACAGAGTAGCATCCAACCAAACTGGGAACTTGCCACATTTTGAAGCAAAATATCAGCGCAAAATAGCTACACACAAAAACATCAAGAATACTGGTATTCTTGCATACTCACCGGGTGAAGCTCCCCAATAATAAATGTTTCCGACAGTGCCCTTGCATCCGTAGAGTGGCCAACATCTTCAAAGTTCTCAGTAGCATCTCCCCCAGCTTGCTCTCTGAGGACTTCTTCTCCACCTGGGTGCTGCAATTTTTAATCAGTGTGAATTCATTATTGAAAACCATCCCCCATTCTAAATATGGAATTTCATTTATTTATTTCTGAAAATAAATAAAGTCCTTGCTAGACTTCTTAGAGCAAATATAAGACCCTCTAAATAACCAGAAAGCCTTAGCTTTCTCAGAGACCAAAATCAAAGAAGAAAGGTCTCCTCTTCATCAGTGACAGACCAGCAAGAAGCATTACCCTAGCAGCTAAAGCAGCATTTAGAACATTACCAGAAACAATCAGTATTTCAGCAGTCAAGCTGTTATCTAAAGTTACACTCTGTGTTCACAATTCCACAACTTGGATAGAAATATTTCTATCCAAACATAAGTTGCAGTAAAGAAGATGCACATAAAAAGGGTAATCATAGAATCACAGAATCGTAGGGGTTGGAAGGGACCTCCAGAGATCGAGTCCAACTCCTCTGCCAAAGCAGGTTCCCTACACCACATAATCAAACAGTGGAATAAGCTGGCCAGAGAGCTTGCAGAATTTCTACCTTTCAAGCGTGCCTCGCCACAGTCCCGAGGAACCTGACCTGACCTAGGTAATCCCAGCTTCAGCCTGAGGATGGAGCCTCCCCTCCTAACCTCCAGGCGTTCTTTCCTAAAAAAGTTATTCCATGATTATCCAGTAAGCCAGCTACTTTGGTGCAGCTTAAGCAGCGCTGGAAGCACATATAAGACGCAAAAAAAGCAGTTTCATTCTAGCAGAGTATGGAATCCCCAGACTCCACTGCTGGTAAAGCAGTGAGACTGCAAGAAGTCACTCACCTCTCAGTGCCTCAACTCATCACTATTCCCTTAACCAAACTCCCTGCTAACCACTGACTTTTATTCTTCCCCAGGATGCACTTTTGGAATTGCATGCAGCTCTACATTTTTATCCATTAATAAACTGCATATATACAGCAATACATCATTGTCTAGTTGAGCAAGTTCTCAGCATCAACAAGTTCATCAGTTATCAGATAAGCAACTTGCCAAAAAGATGCACTGCTTAACTTGGAAGCAGGGAGCTACTCCATAAACAACAGGAGTTGTTAGGTAAACAAGTTGAGACTGTTTTAGCCTTGGAGTAAGGCAACCATGAAGTCCTACTACTTGAGAATGGACAGAAGAAATAAGGTGTTGGTGCCTTAATTCCATTATTAAGGCTTCAGACTACAGAATCTAAAAAGGTGAATGTACGCAAAAATTCTATTTAAAGTTATCTTGCCTAGTGTGTAATTGAACAGAAAAGCCATTCTTACAGGAGATTAAAGTGACACAAACATTTCTCCTAGTCTAAGGAACTGAAGTTACCATTTACTTCAAATCCTCATTGTTAACTTGTTATCAATCCTTTCTCTTTCACAAACGACAACTTGTTCATATAGATTAAGACAACAGTATTCCAGCTATGCCAGAACTCCAAAGCTTGAATTCATCTTCACAAAGGCACGTGTTTTTACAGATTGAGGAAGCTGCTCAAAAGCAAGGCTGTTTTCCTTGGAAAAAAAAACCTAGAATGGCAAAGAATCTTTAGTATGACTCAGCAAAAGCAAGATTAAGCAACTGATAGAGCTATCAGCCATAGTAGCTGCACCAAAAAAGGTTAAGAGAGTGCATGCAGAGTAAAGATTACGCAAACAGGCTTGCAAACATGGCATGCTCACTAAAATCTTGCCCTTGAATACAGCCTGATAAGTATTCAGGGAAAGGAGTGAACAAAAGTTTAGGGATCATTCAAGTCCAAGTCTAAAATGTTGAACTTGGATCTAACAGGTTCTAGATATTGTTGAATGAATTCTGTGAAGACTCAGTTACAGCAATATTTTTATACTATGTTTAAGAACTGTGCTCTCAGAAATACACCATCCACAGAGGCATGCTGTATTGACCATGAAAAGCCACGTGGAAAGATTACTGTCAAGTATATGTACACCTTCAGCAGAAAAGGCAGCAAAATTCCTTGGAAAACATGCTTGCCAACAAAGTCGTCAACAACTAGCAAAAAGGAAATAAAGTTATGCAATCTATAAAGCTCTAATACCAAGTACATTCAAATTCACGTATTGAAGTGAATCCAAATCCTACTCATTCACAGAAGTAGACAGATAGAACATCATTAACTTCAGCCAGTTGCCAAACAAGTGGATTCCTAGCATACAACTGCATCTAAGTTAAAGCCATTCCACGGGGCACTTTAACAAACCACCTGCAGACTGCTGACTGCAGTACAGTCATCCACTACTGCGTTCCCAAATCCTTCCCTTGTACTGCTATAATCACGGTGCTACACAGTTTCAAAAGGCACTCCAGCCTCTCTCGGATGAATCTGTTTTCAGTTTAGGCAGCAACTGATTCCTCCAACACCATGGTTCTGCAGTCAGTGTCATCATAGAGGAAGCGTGACCATGACCAATGCCCTGCCACACATCAACTGCTGGAGTCAAATTCACTCTGACCTCTGCCACCGAAGCTGGACCAGTGGTACTTTTCCCCTTGTATCGGCAGGACTACACTAGAGATGAACACATTTCCAACTTAATCCAAATAGCAGAACACATTACTAGTAACCTACTAGACAAAAGTATTTTGAAACTTCACACATCTTGTTTTGACAATAACTCTGTTTAAAAATGAAAACTTACAGCCTGCCTGCAAACAAGCAATTAACAAAGACTTGACTCCCCCTGACAAAAAAGAGAAGACATAAAGCCTCACAAATGACAAGAAATGACTTCTCTATCAAAAGCTCCCCATTTTCCACAGTTCAATGAGTCCTCTCAAAGTTTGTCTGTGCACAGCCTTGGCTCATATTTCCACACGATAAGCAAAAAACTTTCTACCAGAACTTCCACTGCAATTAGAAAAGCTTTCTGGAAGTAGAAGTTCATGGACTATACCACTAATGACCCCTAAACCAAAGTCCTTTTGATGTAAGTATTTTTGCTGATAAATCTGTGGTTCAATCAAAAGTAGTTTGCTGCTCAAACTACTCTAGCTCGTTCCAAAGACTGTCCCAATTTAACAACATAGATATCTAAGTTACATGTGTAATGGAAGTTTGTAGCAAGGCAGCATAGACTAGTTCCTTACAGCAGCACATTTAGATTTAGATAAGGCAAGTAAGCAGTTAAATTCACTGTTGTCATCTGGGTCAAAAGTCTGCAGTTACTTCATCCAGAACACCTATCAGATCTTCTCCCTCTTGCCACAGTCACGCAACTTCCCCAGTGTCATAGTCCAAGATTGTTTAAGTTTAACTACCACAATTCACCATTCTTATCACCCCATCCTGCCCCCCATAATTGAGGGGTGAATTGAGTTTTCAGTCCAATTTAAGTTTTGAGAAGATAACTGAAGGCCTCCACCAGTTTTGTATTCTACAAAATACACCAGAAGCAGAGACAGAAATGCCCTGAGAACCTTTGGCTCTACTGTGTAGAAAAGCAAACAGCTGTTAGTCTTTTAAGGACACTTTCACACAGTTAGGAGTCTTCCAAATTAGTTCCATCAACTGTTAGAGTTGCAGAACAGAAATTCTGCAATCACATAAGACTTAAGGGGTGTAGAAGAGTAGTCCTTCTTGTCAGTTGTATTTTTGAAAGCCATCATTAGGGTTTTATACACAGTGCAAAGAAAACACTCACTGGTTGAGCACCCACTTCTCCAAAACAATTACAGCCTGCAGTGTTTCACAGGAAGAATGCTAAGAATTGCTCTTTTTCAAAGCATTTTTAAATCCCCCTGCAAGTTTCACCATAGCACTGGCTTTAATCTTTAGACTGCAAGGTCCTGCAATAAGAATTCACGTGGTATATTGACAGACTTAACAGTGTGCTCCTACTGGCACCTTTTGATGTAAGCTATTCATTAACTTATACCATCTTCCAGAATATCACCATATCACAAAACTGTGAATTCACAGCCACGTGGCAGAGAGACCATTTTTCATTCTGGCACAGTAAAACAGTATTTCTTTTTTCTGCATTTAATTCAATCAGCATTCCAAAACCTGTTTTGAGAGAGCTCTCCATCGCATTTAGGAAGTGCTATGAAAGCACAAGTTCTCAGCTTATGAAGAAAGCCTACATTGGCCATTAATGTTTTCACTCTGAATCGTATTTCCAAATCAATCTTTGAAATGATAAAGTAACTTAAACATGAAGTTAACACTAGGTGAATATTCAACACATTTCATAACATGCTTCCAGAACAATAATTTCTCTGAGGTAGAGGCGTTCTTATGCACATTGGCCAAGCTTACGCAATCCAACCAAGATTCCATCAAAGAAATTAGGAGGACCTAAGAAATTAGGGAAGAGGAAGCAGAGATCAGGACACTGATTATTTTGTTTTTTGATTTTTATTTTTTTTTAAATATACTAAACTACTTGTTTAGCTTGTTAGATTGCTGTCAAAGCATGTGCAGCAGGATTGCTTTATTTACTTGCCTAAAAACATGATCAAACATTACCACCGTGCTTAACTCATTAACTTACATTTAATATTATAAATGTATTTAATTATCTGCAGTACAGATATAGCCATAATATCCTGCTGTGAGTACACAATCACTTCTAATAACTAATTTTTCCTAGAGGATGCCAGACCCGAAACTATAAAAAAGTTTCCCAAAGTTGCAGTAACATGGGTTCCTACAGCCTTTAAATGAAGAAGATGATACCAAAGTTCCCAGTCTCAAGCATGGTCTTTCATGTCAAACATGTTCAGACAGCACACTCCAAAAACTGAGCTCTTCGGATTACCCATCTTAAGAGGATATACCTTGATATAAAAGAAACTTCAGATATATATTCAAATTATAAAATTTAAGAGAGTAAGAGAGTTTCCACTTGGAGAGGAAAAAAAAAAAAAAAGTGGTTGCTGGAGTCTTTACCTGCAGTAAGATATCAAAGTATGTAACCCTTTTCTTCTCCAGCACTTCATCTTATTAAGCCTTGGCCTTAGGAAACTAAGCTAATGCAGTCACACTGTGTATACCTCACACCACCTACTAAATTCAATTCAGTGTTGACAAAGGTTGATGGTTCCCCAAGCCCAAGTTCCACAAAGCATCTACAAGCTTTTAGTAGAGACTGCAGCTGCACAGACAAAACATACCCTGTAAGTACTGTAATGTAGTGAAAGGCAGCACCACCATTCACATCTTAAGCATGAGAACATCCAGTGTCTTTAACAGTGAAGCACTGGAAAGTGTTCGACTCCAGAAGCACTAAGGGAATATTTCCACAGTTTAAGGTGGCAGCTAGAAGAATTTCCTGTTGAACTAAGGAATAAGACTGGTGAAGCTTGCTGCTCTTTCCAGTTCTTCACTCCCTGGTAAACTGATACTCATGTGTAATCTCCTATCAGAAAAGAGTGAGATGATGTTTTTGCAGCACTCTCTCAGAAGGACCAGTAGCCTTATTTCAGTAGCCTAGAATTAATTACTGAAATACATTAAGCTTTTCAGCTCCTGCAAGAAGAAGCCATAGGGGGTACAGAGTTTGACCTGTAATATAGAAACAGCTAATGTAATTCCTGCTTTGCTGAGAAGCATTTACCATAACCCAGGATGCACCAGCATGCGGCCAGCATGAGTTTCTTCTTATCTGTCACGTGTAAATACCTTAGAGTGCCTTAGGTCTACAAAAATCAGTACTTCACTTCTGAAGTCAGCCAGCTACCAAAAGCATGCGAAGAAGGCAAACAATAAAGTATAACTACGGACCATTTTAACCCAAGAGGGCCATTCCGCGGAGTCGTCAACACGTGGAACAGCCAGATATTTAACGGAGCTGCACCGAGAAGGCTGCGCCGCAAACGAGGCAAGCCTAACGCAAGCAGCAGCCGGCTCTCACCACTGCCTAGGCGACACTCGGGGACAGCCGCCGCCCCGAGAGCAGCCCGGAGCCCACAGCCGACCGCCCCCTACGGACACTTCCCGCTCGCGGGCACTCACCTCATCCAGGAACTTGGTGACGTCGTAGATGCGGTTGTGCACGATGATCCAGGTGCTCTGGCTGTTGTTATGCTTCTGCACCTCCTCCAGCCGATAGTAGCGGCCCCGCCACGCCTCACCGCCGGCTTCGCTGGAGCCCACCATGTCACCACCCGACAGACAGCACACCGCCGCGACTCGCCACAGCCCCGCTCTCACGCGCGGACGCCAAATACAGCCCCGCCAACAGCCTATCACCGCCCGCCTCCCCCCTCCACTTCTTGCTCTCTCATTGGCGAAAGGGTATGACTTTCAAAGAAGTCATCACGCTACCGGCCGGGGATTGGCGGATCCCATGTACTGGGCGGGGCTAACGATGTCGCCACAGATGTGGGGTGTGCGCTCCAGGTCTCCTCCTCCCCGGTCGCGATCGGCGCTCTCCGCGTGACTCGGTCACGTGCGCCGCCCCCCCCTCAGTCAGCCAGAGGCGTGCGGACTCCAGCCCGCTTATCTTCCCCTCAGGCCGCGCTCCGCTGTGGCTGCTCGGGCGGGAGGCGCTGTTGGCGCCGCGCTGTGGCCGTGAGGTGGAGCGCTTCACGGGACCGCAGGTGCGCCCTCACGGCCTTCCTTAGCACCTCCCCACCGTTCTGAGGGGTCAGGAGCTGTTCCCTCGCCTTCTCTCGGCTGCGATCTTCCACACACAGTTGCCCTGTTTTCCTTCAGTTTTATCTGAGGTAAAACCCAGCTCCAGAGCAGCTGTGTGTATGTCAACTCCGTCAGGTCAGCAGCGTCCTGATTCACTGCTTCCAGTGTGGTTTTAGGTTGTCTTTTTTTTGGTTTGGTTGCTTGTTTTTTAGGGGGGGAGGAGGGATTGCTTGTTTTTTTCTAACATAACTTCAGTGACATAACACTTAGAGGGCACGATTCAGGTGCTAACTCCAGTATATGACAGCAAACCCAATGGCCACGAGTCCCTGCAGCCCCTCACAGCTTTGTGTAGCTTTCAGTACTAACGAGGAAGGCCCTCCTTCCCTGGGTGCCATTGCCCAGGCTGGTATGAAAACAAGAAATACTGCTCACCAATTCTGTGATTGCCTGTTTTGAATGAAGCCATTCTCTGACTGAAGGCCGTCTTAGCATGAGCTGTGTTGGTTTTAAGATGGTGTGTTACAATCACTGCATCTACAGGTGTAATTCCTCCTGCACAGTCAAGATCTACTGATAAAGAAGGCACTTGGGTTTGTTTTATGCAATTCCTGATTAGCAGATCTCTGTCTCCGGGCACTTCTCTCTTTTTGCTCTCCCCTGAGGGAACAAACCATCTACCAGCACTCTGCCCTATTAGTTTTTTATGATCATTGGGAAGAACACAACAAGTGGCTCCCACAAGAGAGTTGTCCTCCACCATCGAGCAAAGCCCAGGAGCACTGCAATGTGCTTTACATTGAGTGATCTTTATCACAGAAGTCCCCAGTTTGACCATTTGAAAGACTTTTAAAGTTCAATGAAAGCAGAGGACCCAGCCTCTCTTTTCTGTGTTCACAATCTGATAAGATGATTTTTCTCTTCATTTGTTTGAAATGGCACTTTGTCTTAAAGGCAATCATAGGTTTTTGAATTATCAGATGAAGTTTCATGTCACTTTCCATGATTGCAAGAAGAAACTTAAGATGCTTTAAGGATAAGAAACAAGGAAACACCATTTTCTCAAAAACTGTCTCAAAACACCAATCTTGGGATTTTTCTACAATTTGAGATAAAGGTTTTTAGTGTTTCACAGTAAGTAATGCAAAGCAAAAAAATTAGAACAGCAAAACTGTCAGAACTAGCAAAAACTGTTGAAATAGTTCCTCAAAAAGCTTATCCAGTCTATCATATTTATTGATCTAAACAATATCATACATTCACTGCAGGGGAGTTGGACCAGATGGCCCTTAGAGGTCCTTTCCAACTCTAAGGATTCGAGGATCCTATGATTTACACGATATGCTTTTCAGATATCTAATGACTTCATAACATTTGGACAACAAAACTGCTTTCTATTTATTGATAACTTCACCACTTTGGTAAGGCCATTTCCAAAAAGGGGTTTTTTTTTTGATTTGGAGGCGAGTAGGAGAAACATTGAAACAGCTGCTTTTGGTATGTAGCACTGGTGGCTCCCCTTGGATACAAAGTAGATTTTCAGCCTGCTTTTTTCCTCTGTGGAGCACTTCGAGATCTATGCTGTAGTAAAGGGCTGTATTTTCTTTGAACAATGAAATTTTACATGTACATTTTGTCATAAACATTCTATTTCCTTTGTATTGCACCTGGACTGTGCTGCAGTACGTAGATTTATACAGTAGGCACATAACAGAAAACCAGGTAGCAACTGTAACTATGTTATTCACACTCTCGAAATTTGTTAGCATTGGTCTTTCTTACCAACAATGCATTTTGAGGAGCAAGTTCAGGGAAAGGAAGAAATTCCTGTCTCTGCTCAGTGTATAGTCCTGAAATAGTTATTGCTATTTGAATTGTGCAAAGCATTACGGAATGATAACAGTTTACACTGACTGCTCTCTCCACCCATTTGTGGGGGAAATAGCAAGAAGGAATAGTAGGATCTTGTCCTTTGTCTGAACTTCTGGCTATTTTGGTTCTTCTTTTCAATGCTTTTTTAGAAAAATTCCAAAAATTATGGAGTTGCAGCAGGCCTGGTCTGTGTTACAGCAATCAGCACACACATGCTCTGCATTCTAACTCTCTAAAATATCCAGTCACATGTAATTCAAGATAATATTGTGGCCTGAGCCCCATACTGCCTCCCCCAAACCGCCTCATGCTCTTGCCCACAAAATGTAGTCAATTTCTATTTTAAGGCAAAGCTTAGGTTGTGAGATATAGCTTCATTAGAACCACTATATGTCAAATCACCTTCCACTCCAAAGAACAAGTGTGTTCTCTTTTTACAACTGTGTCAGAGTGTAACTAAGATACCCACGACTAAGATACCCACTGAGACAAAAATGCTGCTTTGCATACCTTATTTGAGTATGAGAATAGGAAAACAACATAGCTTAATGTGATTTTGAATCAGTAGAGATTGCAGTATTGCGTAAGAAAATACTGCCTTTCACATAAGCAAGGATACAGCACTGACCTGTCACCTGATGAGTGGTGGATTTAAGCAGGGAGTGCACAAGTCTCCTGCAGCACTAGGAGGGGTCCTTGTATACTTGGTGAGGGTGTCTCTCTCTGCTGAACTCCTGGCACTTTAATTTTCTTGCCAGCCAGTAGGGGACAAACTTCACCAAAGAATTCCTCAGCACTTGGATCCCAGATAGATTCCAGCCTAAACATAAACTCACAACGTGTAAGGGATATTTTCACCCTTGTTTAGTCTTAATATTCTGGTTCTTAAAAGAAAATAAAGTATAACACATTTATTTTAAAAAAGTGTGTTGTGCTCCCTGCTTCTGTTCACCATATATGTATATTACCTATCTAATCTTGTCAGAAGACAATTGACTGATTAGTGGTTTATCTGATATCACATCCTTCCAAAGTTCTGTAAATACCTACCTTTAAAGAATGCAATTCATTCCCGTAAGATCCAGGTTCCATTTCAGTGAAATCAGCGGTAGAACATGAATGACAGAAGGCATCAGTCTCTATTCTTTGCCAGTCTGCCAGATCTGCAGAAACTCTGTGCTGCTACAATAACACTGAGCCCCCAGTTACCAGAAAGTGAGATGAGGAGCACTCAGATAAAAGTCTGCAGGTAATTAATTATCTGAGTTATTTTCAGAAGCTACTGGTGTTTGCTATTCAGCAATGTTATTAGTGCAACTAGAATTAGCTGTAATAAGATCAGCACAATTCTTATTAGCAGTAAACACTATTACATTTTTTCAAAGTAATTTATGTTTCTGATGGGTGATGTGCTGGCTTTGGAGAAAAATATACTACTGTGTTTTTAAATGCCATCAGTTAAAACTTACAGAACAACTTACTTGAAACTGATGAATGTGTGAAGTTACTCTGTAAACATACAAACTTGGAATGCTTTAGGTACATCTTTTGAGATACTGTAATGCTTTTTGTAGGTTGAGACAATGAACAGGATACTCAGAAAGAACGTGCACATTCCTTGCATTCAGAAAGTGTTATTCCATTCCCTGTAAAGGGAAGAAATGAGAAATTCTACCAGATAGAATACTTTGAGGCAGATCTGTTAATTTCCCTAAGGCCTGTAATCTGTGCCTTAGACCTCTGTGGGTGGGTGGGTTGGTTAAGAATAAGTAAATTGGGTTTGTTTGACACATTACACTGAGCCACTGGAAACTGATTTAAAAAAAAAAAAATCAGAATCGATGTATTATCTTTTTAATAGTAAGACAAAATAAAGACAAAATAAGACAAAAAAAGTGGGAGTTTATTTTTAAAGTTTTCCTATTTTTTTAAATCTACAGACAGCTAATATTCCTGTATCAGGACGTCCTTTCTGCACCTGTTATTGGAACATTAAATCAAATTTCAGTTGTCATGGCGGTCAGTAGTCACTAATAAATAAGGATATGTAGTTACATGTAACCACACATCTTCACAAAGGACTCTGAGCACCAAGAATAAGTTACGTAATTTCAATCACACTTGTACTACGCATTAGTAATGTTGATGAGTGCTTAGGTCTTTCTCTTTTGACAAAATTATCTTCTCAGGGAATGAACCTCTTGTGGAACAGAACTGACTTGGTAAGATGCCACAAAGAACAGCAGAGCCAGGTTCTGCCACTTTGT